CTGCTCCACATAAGATTTGTGCTCAAGACTCTTCACCAGCTCTGATTCCCTTCACAGATTCACAGGATCAAGGTTGGAAATGATCTCCAAGATCATGGAGTCCAACTTTTGACCAGCCACCACTTTGTCAACTAAACCATAGCACTAAGTACGATGTCAGATCATTTCTTGGACATTTCCAGGGACAGTGACTCTGTCACCACAGCAATACATTTCAGTGCTTGACAACCCTTTCCATGAAGAAATTCTTCCTAATATCCAACCTGAGCCTCCCTTGCACTTCTTGAAGATATATCCCCTTGTCCTGCCACTTGTTTCCTGGCACCTCACTACATCTTCCTTTCAGGCAGTTGTAGAAAGTGGTAAAGTCTTCTCTGAGTCTCCTTTTCTCCAGTCTAAGCAATCCCAGCTCCTTCAGCTGCTCCTTATAACACTTGTACTCCAGACCCTTCACCAGCTCTGTTGCCCTTCTCTGGTCATGCTCCAGCACTTGAATATCCTTCTTGTCGTGAGGAGACCAGAACTGGATACAGGATTCCAGGCATGGCCTCACCAGTGCTGCGTACAGAGGGATAATCCCTTCCCTGGTGCTGCTGGCCACACAATTTCTGACACAAGCCAGGATGCCATTTGCCTTCTTGGCCACCTGGGCACAGCTGGATCATGTTCAGTTGGATGCCAACCTGCACCCCCAGGTCCTTTTCCTCTGGGCAGTTTTCCAGCCACTCTTCCCCCAGCCTGTAGCGCTGCCTGAGGTTGTTGTGACCCAAGGGCAAGGCATGCCCCTTGGCCTTGTTGAACCTCATACGATTTGCCTTGGCCCATGGATCTGGCCTCTCCTGATCCCTCCACAGAGTCTTCCTGCCCTACAGCAGATCAACATTCCCACTCAGCTTGGTGTTGTCTGCCAAGTGACTGAGGCAACACTCAATTCCCTCGTCCATATCACTGATAAAGGTATTAAACAGGACTGGCCCCAATACCGAACCCAGGGGGGTCACCACTTGTGAGCGCTGCCCACTGGATGTAACCCCACTGACCACTGCTCTCTGGGCCCTGCCATCCAGCCAGCTCTTTACCCAGTGAGCTGGGTAAAACCCCAGCCAAGCCATGAGCAGCCAGCTTGTCCAGAGTAATGCTTTGAGAAATGGTGTCAAAGGCATTACTAAAGTCCAGATAAACACATCCACAGCCTTTTCCTCCTCCACAACTGGTACATCTTGCCATAGAAGGAGATCATATTAGTCAAGCAAGACCTGCTTTTTGTAAGCCCATGATGCCTGAGCCTGATCCCCTGATTGTCCTGCATGCGCTGTGTGATGGCTCTCAAGGTGATCTGATCCATTCAGATGCTTTTTCAGGGAATGCTTTCTGGAATGCCTACCTATCTACACATAGAAATAAATTTCTGGGGAAACGTGTTACTAAAAAGCTCTTTAGAATTCTTTGATTCAGTTTTATATTATGAGTAAATCTTAATCTTGATGTATGCAATATAAGAAAAAGCAGTGACAAAGTGACTATAGCTGCAAACACCCTATAGTTACCATGTATGCGGGTCCTAAGTGGAATATATGTTTCTGGGGCATGGGAAGCAATAAAAGATATATGAGTTATAGCTTTTAAAAAACAAGCCTATGTGCAAGAAGGTTGAACTGTGAATAAAGTCTTATGACTTTTACTCTAAGGACTATACGAATATAAAAACTGCAGATTCTTACCTGATCTACAGTTGATTTTTTTAATGGCAGAAGTGTCAAGTTAAGTGGCAAAGGAAAACAATAACATTCTACTGGAAATACGCTCCCAAAGAGTGTAAAAAAATCAAATAAAAGTGCTGTCTTAAATACAGGATTTGCATTTTCTTAGCAGAATAAACTCTCTGCCTTGACTCTCTGTGCACTCACTGAAGTGGAGGTCATGGCTAGTGACAACTGGGAGCTGTTCCTGGAGGCTTTCTTGCCTTTTTAGGTTATGAGGGTCTCTGTGTGTTTAGGATAATATGATTGACGGCTCCACTCCGGCCCCAATTAGCACCCTATAATTTATTAGCTTCTGCTTTCAGATTATGCGCTAACTTCACAAATATTTCAACCACGGAAACAGCAGCTATCAAGTGTCTCTTTCCTGATCCAGCTCACTTGGACTGCAGTTAAATACAAGGAGGGAGCTGTGTAGGTCTGTCAAGAGAGAATAATCATTTGTGTCTGTGTGCATCTGGGGCTCTCACTGTTCTTTAGGACCCAGCTTCTGGAAAAAAGGGGTTGTTTCACTGGAGCAGAATCAGGGCTTAGCGCTCGGTTCCTGCCACAGAGGTTCGGTGCAGGATTGAGACCAATGCACTGTCTGTTCCTGAAAAGGCCCATCTTAGTTCAACCCTGTTTATCATGTAAATACTGACTCCATGCAAACAACATTGGCAGGAAAGTGTGTGTCCCTCCTAGCACTTGCTGCTGTGGTGTGAGGCCAGAGTGCTAAGTGCAGGAGGGAAGAGCCTGGGTGAGGCAGGAGAACAGAGAGGAAAGGAGAGGCAGGGTCCAGGCTGAGGGCAGAAGTCAAGGAGAGGAGAAGTGGAGAAGTTAGGGTGGGTATAATGAGGGAGAAGGAGCATCTTGCAGCTGTACCCAGGCCAGGTAGGGCAGAAGGAAATGTGCCATGCCACAGGGATATGGAGTAACCTCAGTAATATCCAATATGGTATTACATCTCCCAATGGGATAGCACTCCTGCCAGGTGTTTTTCTGCCTTTACCATGAATGAATAAGCAACTGACACTTACCTAAAGAAATGTGCCTGTCCTTGGCCAGCCTGTGCTTTTGTGGGCTGCAGCCAAACATGGCAAATGGAAATGCCCATGCATAAGTCTGGGGCCCAGGAGAGTGCACACCTGCACCCCCTGCACCTCCGCACCCCTTCACTTTTGCACCCCTGCACACCTGCACCCCTACACTCCTGTACCCTGCACACCTGCAGCCTGCATCCCTGCGCTCATACACTCCTACAGTCCTGCACCCTGAACACCTGCACATCTGCATTTGTGCTCTCTGCATCCCTGTCCTACACTCCTGCACTCCTGAACGGCCTCTTCCAGCACCTTCCGTCTCTTGCAGGACCTGATGCAGAGGGCAGGGACAGGAGGATGGGGACATAGCACCCCAGGGACTCTGCTACAATTTGCATTTACAGCTTTGATGCACATCATTCCTGGGTTATACCTGGCTAAGGAGGCAGTAGAAGGTGCACTGTAAAAGTAACTCCTCCTTTAAGATTAAAAATGGACATGAAGAACCCAGGCTTGCCACTACATTCAGATTAGATAATAGTGTTACCATGCTGGCAACTAAATTAACAGCATGGTTCCCTAGGCTGTAGTTCCAAGGCTTGGGAAGTGACTGAAGAAAAACTTTTTTTCTTTTTCTTTTTCTTTTTCTCTTTTTCTTTTTCTTTGTCTTTTTCTTTATCTTTTTCTTTTTCTTTTTCTTTTTCTTTTTCTTTTTCTTTTTCTTTTTTTTTTTTTTTGTCTTTTTTTTTTTTTTTTTTTTTCTTTTTCTTTTTCTTTTTCTTTTTCTTTTCCTTTTCCTTTTCCTTTTCCTTTTTCTTTTCCTTTTCCTTTTTCTTTTCCTTTTTCTTTTTCTTTTTCTTTTTCTTTTTCTTTTCTTTTTCTTTTTCTTTTTCTTTTTCTTTTTCTTTTTCTTTTTCTTTTTCTTTTTCTTTTTCTTTTTCTTTTTCTTTTTCTTTTTCTTTTTCTTTTTCTTTTTCTTTTTCTTTTTCTTTTTCTTTTATTTTTTTTTCTATTTTTGTCTTATTTTTCCCCTATTCCTTTTTATTTTCTTTTTTTTTTTTATGATCTCCTGCTTGCATTTCCCTATGCAAAATTGCCTAGCATACAAAATCAATGTCTCACTCCTGAAAATAGCCATAGGACTCTCTCCTTTCCCTGCTGCAACTGCTCCTCTGGGTGGCAGACCCGGGAAGACAGCCAGGACACTACAATCCTCCACAGGAGCTGGCTCATCCTGTAATCAGAAGGGCATGTTAATTACAACACTTGCCCAGAAAAAGATGCACAGCAACTGTCAGTTAGAGAACGCTGCTGCATCCAAAGCCACCAGCAGCATTTTTTTCCCTTCTAAGAAGGGCCCAGCATTTAAACCCTAACTAGAGCTTGTCCTATGAGCCGAAATATGACTTCAAAGAGAAGGTGGGAAGGGTCAGCAGCTCCTGACCCAAGGAGGAGACAGGGCAGATACATTTCCCCAGAGGCAGCAGCACACAGTCTAGGGGACGCAAAAGGGATTATTCAATCTCTGTTTCACCCTCTGTCCCCTCCCTTCCTCCTCCTCTGCTGGGGGCTCCTACAGCAAACGCACTGGAAAAGTTGGTAAGAAGTAAGAAACACTACCCTAAATCTCTCCAACATTAGACTGTAAGTGTAGAGGCACATATATCATTTAAGAGTTTCGTGATTCATTCTTGCGACTGCAGCCATACTGAAGCAAAGACCTCATTAAAATAAAATGGAAACTGCACCCACAAATACCATGTCCTATCCCCACTTCCATCTTTCCCTTGACAGATCACTTTTAACCTCAGAGATCATCAAGAGAGTACTCCTTCATGCTTTGTTGATTTTCAGAAAGGGAAATACATACCTGTGGTGAATACATCCAGAGCTCATTTTGGAAACTCCTTGTGGAGAGGACAGTCTTGCCATTGGGCAGCAGCAGATATCCTTGCTATGTCCAGCACTGCCATGCTCTGCAGCAGATGCTGTCCCTCTACCTCCTTCCCGGGACTCTGCACGAATGGGTCTGAAGTTGTTTGTGGCTGTTTGTCTGTCCCAGCTGGGCTAGTCTGTTTGTCAGGTGGGCAGCTAGAGAGCACAGTGTGGTGCATGACATTCAGAAAGGGACAGCAGGAGGATCTGCCGTCCAGGCTGCAGAGATGGGGACTTACATCCCTTTCAGTGTGTGACAAGCATGTGACACGTAATATTTACGTAACATCTAGGAAGGGTTTCTTTTTTAATTCCAGATTTTCTACAAGCATTCATGACTAAGGGAGTAATGACCTATGATGCAAAGAGGAATAAAACAGACTTGAGAAATGGCACAGAGGTCATGTGCACTGTTACTGCACTAGGAGCTGGGGCCCCAGTGCTGCAAAGACTAATGCCCAAGCCTAAAAGGCTGGTGCTTCTTCAGGAGTCAGAATAACACGGAGTGAGCAAAACTGCAAGGATTAGCCAAAACAGGGTATGTGTGCTTTCAGGCTGCAGTCCAACCAGAGTACGAGCAGTTTTAAAAAGTTGTTTGTACTATTAGCACCTTGAGCCACTGTCTTGGCTTTTGTGTTTAGATGTTTTCATGATACAACAGTAAAAAATATACCCACAGAATAAATGCCAAAACTAATATTCATAGATTAATTGCATTAATTCTTGTGCTTGAATACATTCACAGTCAAAATTATTGTAAATACCAATGGTGCAAATTGCTTGTTTATGCTTACCTGAACATTTCCAAATGTATTTGGACTGTGTCACTCTACCCTCCTCATAAAAAAATTGCAGAGAAGAGGGGAGGAAAAAAAGAAAGAAAAAGGAAATAATTGTGGTAAAGCACAACCAATCATAGACTCAGATGTATCTTTTTTTAAAAAATAGGTCCTTAGAAACAGCCTGAAAAAGCCCTCAGGAAAATGCTCACAAAATGACCGTGCTAACTTTAAGCTTCTGAAGTTAAACATTGTTTTTAGTAACTTTTCTCCTGCAAAAAGATGGTGCCTTCTTCCTTGTTAAACACCTCAGAATTTTTTTGGTTTAATAGATAATGTAAATTATGGGGTCACTCCCTTGCCCTTCCAGCTTGTCTGGGCTCTGGCTATTTGGAGGCTGAGGAAAAAATGCCCATGGGTTTGTCTGGCTGAGGGAATCACTGCAAGTCCCCCTCTGCCATTTACTAAGCTCTGGCCAGGGGTGCACCTAGTCAGATTCTCACCGTACGTACTCACACTGCTTTGTCAAACTCTTTCTGTTAGGATTCCTATTCTTTCCCAGAAAGTGAGTTATCATCAAACCTAGGAGAAGCAACTTTGGGTTATTCATAACTCCATTCTTGAGACATAGTGAACATGATGCCAAATTTTGTGAGAGTTTTGAAGGTACAGACTCGGATTGCAGCACAGAAGTTCATTTTCTACCTCTTCTCCCAGTGTCAGAGGGTAATGTTAGGAATTTCCTACTATATGCTTTAAAGTTTGTCAGCTTCAAAGACATTACATTAAAAAAAAAAAACCAAACAGAACAAAACCCCAAAACACAGTAGTATTGGGATCAGATGTTTTATCTATAAAAAAAGTCAGCTTTTAAGTGTGGGGTAAGTGCCATTTCTGCCCTGTTGCATTAATTATTCATCACCTGGTAGTAACATTTTAATTTACCACTGCAATAGCAGTTCTATACGCCACAGTCCCCTCTTCTAGCTGAAGACATATGGAGCAGCTCCCTTACTTTAATCAATCTTACAGCCACACCATACTCTAAAATGGCCTCATATTTTCTTATATTTTGTACTTATCACTGTGTATTTTACTCACCAAGAAAATATATTCAGCTGTTTTCAGCTGGCTTTCTATTTATCTTTCAAGCAAAATAATAAAATAACTCACTTCATCCACATGAGAGATACATTCTTTGCTTCATCCTGAAGTTTCCAGTTTGTCTCATTTCTCTTATTTAGCTTTAATTCTTAATCAAAGTACACGGGATGACTGAAGGAGATACCTTTAAATACAGCTTTGCTACTGTTAAATATCTATTTCCCTCTTTCAAAAAACCCCAAACAATAGAGCTACTAAAGTGGCAAAATGACAGAAACAAGTAGACAAAGGGAAGCGTTAGAGGCAACTCAGAACTAATGTCCATCACAGCTTTTCGTTCTGCTGTTCCCTTTAAAGGATGTTGGGCTGGAGGTGAGCCATTCTTCATCGGATTCCTTTCTCCCCCTGCTTTAAGAGGGTTTAACTTTCACCAGAAAATGTTTATTGTAAAAAGAAAAAAAAAGGAAAAAAGAAAAAAAAAAACCAAAACAAAAAAACAACCAAAACCAAACAAACAACCCCACCCCCAACCAAACAACTGTTATACAGCCAATGCAATGTGCCAAACTCTGAGAAGTGCCACCTTGGTTTTCATCTTTCTGGGATTTAAGCAGTTGTGAGAAGAACAGCTGCATATCTGTAAGTCCAGGGCAGGTGGCTCCAGTCAGATACTTGCCACTCACAACCACAAAGCTGAAAAATCTGACCAGTTCCTTGACATGTTCATGAGTTCCAGTTTCTTCTCCTTTTACTTTTCAATAATGCAAAATAAAAATCCAGTTAAAAATTGCTGAGTAGCTTTCCCATGGTTGCATTCAAGAAATAACTTTCACTGCCATAAAAAAATATTCACACCACTAAAAAACCCCCACAATTTCCTCTGTTGCCTGTATGAAGGCCAGTGGTTTTGCATCACCATCCATGATGTCATTTGACTTTTTCAGAGTAGTCTGAAAGAGTCTGGCTGCAGGTCTGGGTGTGGAGTCTGCTTAAATAGAAGTTCAACGTCTTTGGCTCTCTTCTTGCAACAGAACGACTTTCCTCTCCGAAGTAAGTCTAAAGTACCACCCTTGCAAAGCCAGGTTCTTTTAACTCCTGTTGTCTTTCCCCGAGCAGCAGGGCCGTGGTGGGCTTGGAAAAGGGCAAGGGGGGATCTGAGAGTCTTTGAGTCAGCACATCAGCTCAGAAGGGATCCACCACAGAAGGAGTAACGGCGAGCTGCAAACCAAGATCAGAAGCTGTTACAAACTGACCCGATTTCAGCTCTGAATGCCACCATGTCTAATAGGTAGAGAGCTACAGGGGAGAGCCAGGGGAAGAAGAGTGAAGGACAGCTCTAAAACCAGTACATATCCTTGCTTTTATCCTGCGGTTGCAAACCTGAGAATGGAGAGAAGAAAAAAAAAAAGGAAGAAAAATAGGTACAGGCATTTAAGAACAGAGGAAAACAAATTGCATTTCTTGCCAGCTGAGATCAGTTTAAAGCATGGGATCTCCAGAGCCCCAGAAGGCTGTGAAACAAGGAGAAGAGCCCAAACCAGACTGGAGAAGTCCCTCCTGCTTAAAGTGAGGACATCATAAGGAGACATTAGTGGCTGCAATAATGAAACCAGCATGACCAGCATGGAGCAGACTTTCTTTCCCTTCACAACCACTGACTCAAGTTCTGTCACTGCTGACTGTGTCTACGTACCCATTTTTGTCAGCACTACAGCCATAGCCTTGGTTCCAGACACCCCAACAGGCACTACCAGGGGAAGACCTCTGCCTTTTTTGCTCAGCAAATGTAATTGTGCTTTCATCTCAAAAACTGGAAGGAAAAGGTAAATAAGGAGAGGAGCTAGTTTGTGAACCTGCATGGTGTCTAGAAATGACCTCTCAGGGCAGCACCATTCTGCTCCTAGCTCTTGCTGCTCAATGCAGGAGCAAGACCAGTGCCTGGACAAAAGTACCTCAAAGCAACCTGTAGCTTCAGGGAATGTTTGAAGGCATCAGAAATTCAAATAATTTTGTGGAGATGTGATGTGTTGGTCTGTCCCATCCTTCCTCATTTGCCTGGCCTGAAAGCCCGAGAAGAACACCCAGGGCAGAGCTCAGGTGTCACACAATGGGCTTCCAACCTCACTTCATTCCCCCACAGCAGAACCTCAGCCACTCCCCATGAATCCTTCCTACTGCTATGGACGGTGTGGAATCAGGGAGCAGGGGTGCAGCTGAGCCAGGGGATCTGGAGGGGCTGGGGGCAGCTCATTACCTGTGTCCACATTGAGGCCAATGCTCTGTGCCATGTCTCCCGTTGCATTGGGAAAGGGGCCCGGTGTCGTCCAGGATGCAGCAGCACCCGCTTCACTCTTGCCCAGTTCACAGGGGGGGCTGACTGGAGTGGATACGGAGGCGGGGGTGAGGCGGTGGGGGCGGACGGAGGCGGTGGGCACCAGGAGCGAGCCATAGCGGGGGTCAAAGTGGGGCCCGTAGACCTCGTGCATGGCGGTGGGGCGGGGGTAGGCAGTGCTCTGTGTCCCAATGTAGGGGTGGTGGTGGTGGTGGTGGTGGTGATGGTGGTGGGCGTGGTGCCAGGGCTCGGGGCCGCCCTGGTGCAGGTGGCCGTGCAGAGAGGTGGGCGCGTAGGGGTCGGTGGCAGCGGCGAAGGGCAGCTCGCTGTGGGCGGCAGCTGCCAGGGGGCTGCTCAGGCTGGCTGGGACCGAGGAGGGCTGGTATGTGCTGTTCCAGAAGGACGGTGGGAAGATGCGCTGGCTCATTGGGAAGGAACCATCTGCATGAAGGAAGTGGGAAACAAAGTCAGCAATGAGCACACCTGACAAGACTTGATCTCCTTTCCCTAGGGCTCCATCCCTCCCTGATCCACCCAAAACAGTCCTTTCATTCCCTTTATTCCACAAAAAGCTGGCAAGCATGAGAACTTGCTCCAAACAAATACAGATTCGTCTCCGACTAAATATCCAACACACCTGTCCTATGGCTTATCCATGAAGCTGCAACTATATCCTCCAGGTTTTTCTTACTACATAGATGGGCAAAAGGTTGTTACCTTAGGCAAGAGAAACATCTCTTTTCTTCAGTAAGAAGAGCTACTATACACCACTTAAATTTTCAGGTCTGGCTTTTCCTTGTTTGTTTTTGTAATAATCTCCTCATCTAAATGTTTATGCCCAACGCTTCCTGGAAAGTGGCTGCTGCTTCAGTGCGGTAGCAAAGTGGGCAGGAACAGTGAGAGATGTGACTAAAGGCAAATTTGAATTATTCAAATATCTGGGGGCAATTCTCCATCTACTATAGCCATCTGTTTCTTAGGTATATTGTCAGCCTGTCTGGGAAGCCCTCAGCAGAACTTGCTGGAGACTGGCAGGGCAAAGACAAAGACCCTACATTTTCTTAGCCCATTTAGCAACATGCAAGATGGACTGGTGATTATTAATGTTATGAAGAGATGTTATGCATGATTAATTGGTAATGCACACTGTTCCTGAATGAAATAAAACTATGTTCCTAATCATTTTTTGCCAGGGAAGTATGTCAGCTCTGAGCCTTGGCATTGCTTGGGAGAAAGGGAAGCAGTTCATCATGAGCAAAAAAACCTCCTCTACTGCCATCAATTCCAGCACTGAATATCTCTCACCCGTGAAATATTCTTAGACACTACAGACAGCAATCTGTGCAAGGTCTGGGAAACCAGCCCTGGCCGAGCAGGTGGCCCTGTGAGGGAGGGTTACTAAGACTGCCCACAAGGAAGTGCCAGCCCTAACTCTGGCAGATTGAGTGTGAGGAAGGTTATTTCCCTCTGCTCGGACTACCCTCGTGGGCCTATCCACTGTGAATCAGGCATGAATATAGAGAGCTGTGCATAAGCCATGACCTTGGCCTTGACAGTACACTGCCTTGGGCAGATCTGCAAGCCCTTGTTTTCAGAAATTTAGGAGTTCTTGTCAGCACTTCAGGTGCAATCAAGGTGGTGATGCATGCAGGGCAAGATACAGGGACACACAGTTTTGTTTTTTTTTTTTTTTTTTGAGATTGTTCCCACATTTTTTTTTTTTTTTTTGTTTTGCTCCCATCACTGTGAACACTCTAAACTGAAAGCGGGGGTCAATGAGGAATACACTGGTCACAGTCACAGTTTGGGAGTCACTCCATGGAGTGAAGATCACCCACTAGTTAGGTGGTAACCCTCTCCAGGTAAAGCACCTGCAGTGAAAAGACAATTTGTTTTCCCCGACCGCCTCTCAGGCTGCTTTACCCCGAGCCATGGCCTCCCTGCATAATCTGAGGGGCTTTATTTTTTTCTTTTTACCCTAAAAGGGCCAAGCGGCTGGCAACTCCTAGCCTCGGATGAGGGATGCCACCGCCGGGCACCAGCCGCTGGTGGGAGGGAGGATGGAGCTGGGATGCGGAGCCGAGGTGAGGACGATGTGCTGGCCCAGAGGGGGCCTCCGCCGCCCCCCGCATCCCCCGCGCCCCCCGGGACGCAGGGCGCTCACCCCGCCAGGAGCCCGCGTTCCGCGCCGCCTTCGCGCTGCCCAGGGAGAAGCTGCTGGGCTGGCTGAGCGCCCGGCTGAAGTGCTCATCCACCACGGCGCTGATGTCCCCCTGGAAGTAGGTGAAGAGGACACAGCGGGAGCTGATGTACTCGGCCTCGGGGGGTCGCTCCTTCTCGGGGCTGCAGTCCTCCTCCTTGATGCTGGCCGCGGCGTGGCCGGAGAAGGAGCTGCCCACGCTGGCGCTGCTGCCGCTCTCCGGGGCTTCCTGCATTTTGGAGTAAAAGGCGAGTTTCTGCAGGGAAGGAAAGAAAACGGAGCCTGTCACGCAGCACACCAAGGTGCGCTGGCCCGCCCTGTGCCATCCGGCGGGCAGCGCCCAGCCCTCTCCCGCCGTCTTTCCGAGAGGATGCCGAGTCTGGTCCTCGGCTGCCCGCCTTTTCCTCAGCATACACCACAATCCCCACACCCCCATATCGCCGTCTGTAGTCCGGGGGCAGTGAAGGGACTGTAAATAGGGCTGGGGGATCGAACCCCAGAGGTGCCAAAGGGGATGGAACAAGACAGCCGTCGGGTGGGGAAGGCGCGGCCGGGCGGGGGGTCACACCGCCTGGTCTCCCGCATCAAGCCCCGCAAAAAAAGGCTCTTTGCAGCTGGCTCCGGAGCGGACGGCGGCCGCCAAGGGGCTGCAATGCGGGGGCACGGGCGGGCGACGGCCCAGCACCCACGGCAGCTGGGAGAAGGCGAGAGCCGCTCGGTCCCCGGCTCCGAAAATCTATCCGATGCAAAGAGTGTCCTGTAACCCACAGCGGCGAGATAGAAGCAAAGAAGGGGGAAAAAACCTGACAGTCTCCAACACACTTCAGGGCAAAACTCAGCATTTCCCTGGACACCAGAAGTTCCAGGTATTTACTACAAGATTAATCTCCTTTTACTGGACTCCGCCGAGTGGGAAAACAGCGGGCATTGTGAAGTTTGCCGAATGTTTCCCTTCTTCACGCGCGTTAGCGTGTCTGCAGCTGCTGAGAGTTTCTTAGCAATAAACTCTGGGACGCGGAGCCCGGGCTTGCCGCCGCGGACAGAGCTTTGGGGCAGGCAGCCGGTGGGGAAGAACCGAGAGGACGGGGCAGAGTCTTGGGCCAAGACACGCGATATATTTGATAATGTCACTCGTCGCGACGACCGCCTTTCCGCTTGGCTCCCTGTTTGGCCATTGAGGTAATGGTCATTCCCTTTAATAATGTCATAAGCAGGGGGTTGAGAGGGTAGTTGGGAGGGAAGGCAAAGTGGGGAAAGACATTACCTGTCTTTTGTGACGGGTCCTGGGCCCCGCTGCCGGGCGCTGGAGGGGGCACAGGGACAGCCACGCCGCTGGCCCCGGCCCGCTGCACGCCGTTCTCTATATCCATCCCCTTTTTCGTTATGGTGGGGGAGGAAGGAATTAATTTCTGGAAGGGGTAAGGGCGAGGGGAAAACTGGGAACGCAGAGGGGTTAAAAGGAAAGCGGTGTGCAGCAGGTGCAGCCTGGGGAGCAGAGCCTGACCCACGCGGGACCGTGCGAGTCCCGGCGCCAGCAGATCCCCGCACACCACGGGCGTGCGTGCCCGAAACATCCCCGCGGCAGGAGCCATCCTTTTCTTGAAACCTCGGGATTAGCTGATACCCGCGACTGCCCCGTGGAGCTACTCGCAGTGAGGCGGCGGGACACGGCTGCAGCTCGCGAAGAACTCGAGGGTCTCGCAGGCGACGGCCGCTGCCGACAGCCGCGGGGCCCGAGGGACGTCCCGGGGTCCCGCCGCCGCCGAGAGCGCCCCGGGAGAAGAGAGCATCCTGTAGCCCCTTGCTCCCCTTCGCGGCCGTGATTTCCTCCGCCACCGCCAAACCGGGCGAACCCCGCAACCTCCCGTCTCCGCAGCATCCCGTCTCTCTCGCCTCCCCCACTTCCAGAGCGTAACTCCGGAGCATCCCTCCGGAGTAAAATCTCTGCACCAAGAGGCTTCCGTGGCAGCGGCCGGGATGCCGGCGTGCAGGGGTGAGCGATGCCCCGGGAAGCCCGGCCTCGCAGCTCCCGACGGTCCCCACGCACATCGCTACCCCTACCCGCCGCGCTCGGAAATAGCCCGTCCCGGTAAAAAAAAAAAACCAAACAAGCAAACATTTTAAAACAAACAAACAAGCAAACAAACCCCCTAAAAGTCCTTCTGAGGGTTAAAATCGTCCCATCTTTCCAAAGGCATCCCGTAGCCCGTCGTTTGCCGCCGGGGTACGTACCCTGTCGAGCCCCGCGCCAAGGTGGGATGCGGTTCTGCTCCGCTCACCATCTCAGGCTCCCAGATCTCCCCCCTCCCGCCCCCCCTTTCCCCTCCCCTTCTCCTTTTCCCTTTTTCCCTTTGGTGAGGCCCCAGATGGCCATCCTCCAGACGATACCCCTCCCACCTTCTGCCTCTTCACCGCTGTCCGCTACACGTACCTGGTGGTAGGGGCTGTAGGCTGCTGCGAAGTAGGGCTGGGAAGGACCGTAGACTTGGTACATAACATCCAAACAGCTCATGGCTGGCCGCGGCCGAGAAGTATTTTTTTCCTCATCAACTCGAGTTCTGCAAAGTGGAGTAATGCTTCGAGGGAGGGAGGTTCCCGGGGGTTAAGAGGCACCACGCACTGGTGGGAGGAGTGAGGGGAGATGGGGCCGCGCTGGGCTGTGCTGACACCCCCTCCTTGCCTTCTTTCCCTGCCTTCCGCCCTTCCTATAGCGTGGCTCCCTCCCGCAAATACGCCGGGACTGGAGGGGCTCCCCGGCCGCCGGGGGAATTCAGCCCCGGGCCCGGCGGCTGGCAGAGGCGGAGGGAGCAGGGAGACCCCGGTTCCGCGGCCGGGACTGCCCGGGAGCAGCGGGGCTCGAGGCGCAGGGGAGCTCCGGCCACGCAGGAGGCTGGCGGGGTGCGGGGGGAACCGAGGGTCGGCAGAAGATAGGGGCTTTCCCAGCGAGTCAACCCATCTCCCGCTGCTTTTGATTTTATTTCATTTATTTCATTCGTTCCACGTGCCTCCTGCGCCGGGTGCTGCTGCCCCGCTGCCCCCGGGGGAAGATGTCCCTGCCGCCCCCCACCTCGTCGGCCTCCGCTGCTGCCCGGGCGAAGGGAAAGGCAGGGATCTGGGTGACCCCATCCAAATTCCACTAAGTCCGGCGTCCACCCGAAAATGCCACCACAAAGCCACCGGAGTTGAGAAGTCTGATAAACCGAAGGAGGAAAAACCAGTTTCTCCCGAGGAATAATCTCCCCAGAAACTTTTAAATCATTACAAATCCCGAGAACAGCGATGCTTTTGCATTAAATAGAAACTAAACGCCGAGAGCAAAGTCACGTCAAAACAACAAATTATCGTGAAGGTAAACTGGATTTACTGCCTGGCTTACTGCTGAGTACGACATGCAAAGTTGTAAATAGGTGAATGTATCTTCACTGCTCATCATTTTAAAGGAGTTGCATAGGAGGTAGATTATATTTTAACAGAGGTGTAAAATCTTATTTCAATATCAACTCTTTGAAATGTTCAGCTTCATGGTACAGGTCACAACTACTGTGAGAAGAGACCCTTCTTGTTTTCTTTTAAGCACCTGTAATAAAGCAGAAAAAATATAGAAAATGGAAGAGAAAGAATATTACTCAGTTTTCAAATGCTGATTGGTTGCAAAAATATTGGGGAAAATCTGAAAAGAATGAACACTTTAAATTTTGAAGACCTGGAAATATTTAAACTAATTTTAGCAGAAAAACATCACATTTAAAAGTAAACATTGACTCTATTTTGTTTTCTTCAAAATGCAATTTTTATATTCCAAGTGCTAGAAATTGTTTTGAATGCCTGTCGTTCACCAAAATCATATTTCCGTGCCTGATGATCGTGTTTCAATGTTTTCTGCATCAGGTGCAAGTTTTAAAATTAATATTTAAACAAATTTCTTTCTCCGTATTCTTGGGAGTTTGGGAAATTTGTTTTTCATACTGTACTGCATCCTGAAATACTGTGGCCGTGGGTTCTGCCTCAGTGTTGCTCCTTCCCCCATCAGAGCCAATTTTGTGTTGGTGGTCAAGCAAATGAGGGGATGACCTCTGGGTATTAGACTTTAAAATGAGAAATGTAACTTATATTTTTATTTATCCTGAACAGTAAGCAAATAATCACAGTAGAGGGAAGGACTCTCTCTGTGGCTGGGGTCCAAATTAAAACAGTCAGCTAGAGAACAGCCCTTCCCTCCTCACTGCGAGAGACTGAGGGATCTCACTTGGGACAACAGGATCTCACTTTTCCTGTGTCCCTGCTTGTGAGAGGCAGGGAGCTTTCCCAGCACACACAGACCTGTGCCTGTTTCAAAGGTGTGCTGGGCAAGGTACCAAAAAAAAGCCCATTTCTCAGAGGGTAAATCCAATGAGCACCTGCTCCAAAGACACAGAATTCCCTCCTGCTCTTTGGACCAGCCCTTCGCCAGGACTCTGTGCCATAGCAAAAGTAGGACCTAACACTGGCCAAGGCTGAGCATTCACTTGTGTGGAAAATCCCAAAGTGTAACAGCAACACGTGTGACTGGGTGCTGCAGTGTGGCAGACAGTCTAGCTTGTGTACCCTGAAGAATCTCTCCTTGAAGGCTGAATTCAGGGGTTTTACCTCACACTCAAGTATATGCTGGGGGAATCGCTTCTGATGTGGCTTGGTATGAATTAAGTCTCTTTTATAGACAGTTATTTGGCTGTAAAACTATGCAGTGTAAGACACAAGTAAACTTCAGTGTCTTAATGCAGAGCAATAAAAACATTCATGAAAAAATGCTGGCAGTATGTTGCCTCATTGGTGGCAAAAAGTCTGTGAGTCTGTGAAATTAGTCCTGGTATAGGAAATCATCCTGGGAACCCAGGGTCAGAAACTATATTCACTAATGATCTCACTGTGCATTTACAATTATATAAAAACAATCTTCCTTGGTTTTAACTAAAGAATTTTAGGGATGAGTCACATAAGGAATTACAAAAACTTGGAAAGAAACAGCTGAGTTACCTCAGAGAGAAAATTATGACAACAGTAAAGGAAAGCACAATTTTAGAAAGGACATGGGTTAAGAACTCTCTGCATCCCATCACAGCACTGGCATGGGCCTCCTCCTAAGCCATACACTGGTAAATATTTCACAGCAGTAATATAAAAAGAAAATCTTGTTCAGAACAAAGAATGATAGGTTCTGATCAACAGTGCGATGCAGAAATCTACAACTTGCCTCGGAAAACATCCCTGTAAAGCAAGTCAGTGTTATCTTCTATCTAAGCTGGAACTTTTTACAAAACAAAAATTGGGTACTACTGCTAATGGTTCACCAGACAAGCAAACAGGTCATGAAACAGAACATCAGCATTCAGAAAGAGTGGGAGAAAAACGTGGTAGCACTGGCCACATTAGTTTCTCACCTTCTCTGGAAATTCTACATCCAGCCTGCCAGCCCCTGGGGTTTGAAGGTGTGAGCACTGAGTATAATGTTCAATTAAAGGATTAAGTATTTATCATCCAGTAGGGACATTTCTGTTTTTTCAATCATACCACATATATAATTCTTGCTGTTCACAATATACTTCTTTAGAAGCTCAGGGAGACTTTCACTGTTTCCAGTAAGGCATGCTTTTCCCAATAGAAGATACCATGAGGTGGGTGGAGAATCCAGCCCTTGCTGCAGCCGTTTGCTGCTCTGCTTAGCAGCCTTCAGTGTTTTTTTCTTCCAGCTTGGGTTGGCTTGGCTTCAGCCTCCAGCTGTTGGTTCATGTAATGCCTTAGTTCACTTATCTAAACAGTCCTTTTCAATGTAATATTTTCTCTTATGAAATTGATTTTATTCCATATAATATTTTTTTCCTGCTGAAATAGATGGTGCTCCTTAACTTTCTACTGCTATTCCTCTAATAGTTTTTGTACCATTTATTTGCAACATATGAAATTTTTTAACATTATTCTAAAAATATTGAGGCAAGGATTTGTTGTCTTTCTAATGTTTCTCTTGCTGAGAAGTACCTTCTTTGCAACTGATGCTTATAACTATTGGGGGTTTTTTTGCCATAACACAATTTTAAAGACATGACACAGTTGTGCTCTCCCACTGTGATGACCACTGTATTTTCAATTTTGATACTACAAGCACATAAAAGACCTGGACTGCTTGGTGGTGAGGAGCCAATGGTGTTGGGAACCTCCTGGAATTTCTTCTAAACTCTTACATATCTGACTAAGATTGCAAGTAGCTAGGCTGAAAACTGTGATGAAACCATGTGAGCCTACGACATCTGTTCATGATGCCTTGTACAGTCATCCTTTCTAAGATATTTTCCATCACTTGTCTTCCTCAGTCATAGATGTGCAACTCTTCGAACCGTTCCATTCATGTGCTGTTTGCTCTTGAGAATGCCAAGAGACTCAGCAATGGGCTCAGGTATTGCCAAATGTCCCAATTCTCACTTTACTCACTAGTTTTCTTGTTCTATGTTACCTACATGTGATTTCATATCAACTTTCAGTTTACTAATGATCATCTTGCATAATCCATAAATGAATCCTATAAATCCAGTCCACAAATATTCCTATACAGTGTTCATATACTGTACTCCTATGTGGCAGTAGTTGTATTTCTAAATACTGAAGATTGTATGTTGATTGTTTCTTGTATTTTTTTTTTTTGTCTATTTGCTGCGTGTATCACTTATATTGTGCAATGCCTCCTCCATGAGATGATAAGTTCAGTTTCACTAGTCTTCCTATTCCTGCTCTCTATTCTTTAATACCTCAATCTGCCTGTAGGACTCAGCACATACTTTACTTATAGCTGAATGCACTACTTGTGAGTTTATGTGGGTCAAATCTGGCTGAAATAAATTAAGATAGATAATGCTGTTCCTCGTTCTTATCTTGTCGGTCTTTGTGCTCCACATCCCTAAAAGCTTTTTGTTTTTTAGGGCTTGGCAACTGTTACCATGGTGTTCTCAGGGATGTTTTTGAGGTCCAGCCTCTGGGTCTGTATTAATGCAGAAGACTTTAGGCTCAAGAGCTTCTGGCTTTGTAGTTTTTGTGGATACTGACATTAAAGACAAAAAGCCAGTATCATAAATACAGTAAAACACAAAGTAAAAATCAGGAGACACATATCACTGACTTCATAGTCTCTTTCACTGTCCTGAAAAACCTGTGTTTCAATCTCAGAGAGCTTGTAGAGTTAATTTTGATCTTCCTTTGAATGTGGCTTTTTCCCCCCCTATTCCTTTTTCCCCCCTACACCTCTAAGAATTCACAGTTAGCTGCTAATTAACCCCATGCACGGATACTACTTGGTGTGCGTTTGTACGCGTGACAGCGCGTCTGCTCCAGTGACGCGCTGTGCAGCAGCTGGAATGTACGCAGTGATTTTTACTTCATGATGTATTTCCAGGGGAGTTGCAGCCCAGCTCAGGGTGCAGCATCTGGCGTGTGTCACTCACCCGTCCTGCCCAGCCCTGACGGGCCAGAGGCATCACCTGTCTCTCCTCTACTGATGGCGGCAGATGAAGAGATCATTATGCAGGGCTGGAAGGGAAATCCAGGGTTGTCATGAGGGA